GTTCAAGACTAAGAATGGTATAGAAGGGAACCAATATTTATTGAGTGCTGCTTGTGTATTCCAGGTCCTGTTTTAGTTTTCTTTAAAATGTTCCTGACAAAAGGAGAGGTTAGTAAAGGATGAAGAAAAACCAGAAACAGAATATTAAATAATATAAGGATATGGTTAGACTAGGGATAAAATAGAAACCAAGTAGTTAACAGTTATCTGAGAAATTTTGTTGTGTTTAACGCCAAAGCTGAGACGTCTGTATATCAAGCTTATACAGCACGTGTGCCAGACACGAAAAAATGAATATGAAGCTTTTGCTGGAAAGCTAGAAAACATGTTGGGTAGAATGATTCAGTGCTATACTTATATATGTAGATTAATTCAGTTAAAAAAAAACAACTTCAAAAACTACATGCTCAATACACAACAGTGTAACATAGAAAAACACAAAGAAAACATTACCCATAGCCCGAGAACCAATGATAACTATGGTTATGATTTTGGTGTATCTCGTCTATTTTTCTATGCATATAAGTTTACCAGAAAATCATTATCATATGAAGACCATACTTTAACTGTTTGAAATTGTCGCTTTCTATATATTACTTTCTGAAGAATCGCCAAGTTGTGTTATGTATCCGTAATTTATTCTTTTTCTTAATTGTGCAATATATCATACATACAAGTGTATATATCATGTACATGTACACTTTAAAGACTAATACTAAAATGACCACTTGTATCTGCCACCCACTGGAAGAAACAAAACTTGACCAAACCTCAGGAGCACCTTGTGGGCCCAACCCCCATTTCTTCCTCTTCTCTGGACCTCAGAGATAATAGTTATTCTGGATTTTGTGTTAAATCTTTCCCTTGCTTTTTAAAATGTTTTTTTCCCATACATATTTGTATCTCCAAACAATATATTATTTCATTTTACATTTTTCAATCTTATGTAAATTGCATCCTTTGACTTGCTTTTTGGTCAACATTGTATTTGTTAGGTTCATCCCTATTGCAGCATGTAGCACTTGATTATTTTTTCATTATTATATAGTCTGCCATATTAATATAAATATGCCAGCTTATTATGGACATTTGGATTGCTATTATGAACAATGAAGCTACAAATATTCTTGTACATATTGCCCAGTTGCACATATGTAAGAGTTTCTGAAAGTACAGAATTTTACTAGATAATAATTTTCTAAAATGGTCATGCTAATTTATACTCCCACCAGCAACGTTTTCAGATTTTCTACCCCATATTCTCACCAACACTTTAGTATTGTTAGATTTAAAACTTGGGTTTGCTAATCTAGTGGGTATAAAATGAAGTTGTAGTTTCATCTGAATGTCCCTGATCACTAGTGAATTTGAGGACTGGATTGTCAAACCACCCTCAGGAATCCGAGATTCTTACCAGTGTCAAGCTTTGCTAAAAGATACAAGGAATCAAAAGCACACGTGAAGCAGACCGAGGCCTGGGACATCTGCCTGACTCCCCAGGTGCTTCCTGCACTGGATGTTCTTCTGACTCCAGTTGAAAGTTGGGCAGAAGTGAGCAGCCGCCGCACACAGCAGGGAGCATTGAGGTTAGGAAGCTTCTGCATTTTATGCTCATGTCATTACACAGCATGTGTAACCATGCCTCGTACATCCACAGAATCTAGGTTTATTTACCACATGCAGGAATCAGAAACATCTTGCAGAGACCATTCTAGAGGTAAGGGATCTCTGCCTAGCAAATACCATTGGTCCAGAGGTTCCCAATGTTCTCAGTTCATGGTGCCCTTAGACTCTTAG